TCAAGGTTTAGGCTTAGGCCTAAGCTAAGACTTAGATTTAGGTTTAGGCGTGGCGTAATGTTTAATTTAAGCTAAAACGTTTTGGTTGAGTACAAGTATGAGCGGGAAAATGGGGAGGTTAAGATATAGGCTTAGGTCTAAGTATATATGTAAAATAAAATTGTGGTTGTATATGAGTAAAGTTGTGGAAATGAGGAAAGAACAGTAGCATAAGCTTAAGCACAGGTTAAAGCTTAGCTTAAGGTATAATCATAAGTTTAAATGAGGGTTAAGTTAAGGCAAAGTTTTAGGCTGAAGATAAAAACAAGGTTTACGCTAAAGCTAATGTAAGGTTAAGGTGTAGAATTATGTTAGGAAAGGTTGAATATAGTGCGGTTTAATCTTTTTTAATCTACGTGGTTTAAGTTTTTATTGATTCTGAGTAAAATAAACAAAAGTTAAGAATTTAGATTAGACCTGGGTTAGGTCAAAGGTAGAGGGTAGAGTAAGGAGGATTAAATAAATTATGGGGTTGAAGAAGGGTATAATAGGGTGAAAAGCGAGGTTTAGATTATAATGTATGGTAATAAAAATAAGTTAAGTTAAGAGAGGAAGAAAATGGTATAATGGAAGGATGTGGATGGGAGATACCAAAATTTTTAGTAACAAATGAAGTTGCATTAAAAAGTAGTAGAAGAGATATGAAGTGAATGAGAGGTAGAAAAAAGGGGATAAAGATGTAAAATTTATGTAACATTTATGTAACTTAACCTAAGCGAATGCTTTGGTCTTCTCCGAATACTGCATTGAAATCCGCGGACCTCATCAGCGGAAGGCGGACGGGTACAGTATAGCCGGTAGACATAGCAAATTGGTTCTATAGATCTGTGTGGGGTAGTATACCGAGTAGGAAGGATGAAAAACGGCTCTTTCTACATGATATTCTTATCAACTTCCGTAATAGCTTCTCAAACATATGCGAGTAATACAAATTTAATCATTTTAGTAGAGGGAAATATTATAATGTACATAGTACCAAACACCTTCTATATTATTTAAATCAGACTAAAAATTATAATAACATGCTTACGAAAGCTGATTTTACCACATTATACACTAATTTACCACATAATATTGTTCTTAATTTTATGAAACTTTCATACGTAAGGTCTTCATCAATTCCAATAAGCTTTACTACATACAAAACAAATCTTACTTAAAATTTACTAATACTCTATCTTCCAGTAATCTTTGCCTCCCACAATTCAAAACCTTAAACTTATGTTTTCATGTTATCAACAAGAATTAGGCTTAGGCTTAAGTTTAGGTTTTTGGCTTAGGCTTAGTTTTTCTGCTTAAGCTTAGGTTTTCGACTTAGGTTCAGGCCTTCTCTTAACTCCACATCTAATCTTGAAGCTCGGCTTGAGCTTGAGCCTGAGCTGGAGCCTGGGGTTGCCAAAAAGAAAAAAAAAAGTCGAAAACCTAAGCGTAAGCTTTATCCTAAACCTAAATCCTCGGTTTAAGCCTAAGCCTAAGCCGAGGCCTAACACCGAATGTTTAAATCTAGACTTAAGTCTAAGCTCAAATCTAAACTCAAAATCTACGCTTAAGTCTATACCTAGACTGAGACCTAGGACCTAATGCTTAAGCCTAAACCTAAACCTAAGCTTAGACCCTCCATTGTCTCCACAACTATTTTTGTTCTTCCCTAAAAATCTTTATTTTGCCCAAGCTTAGGCCTAAGAAAAAATTTTGGGGCCTACGCCGTAACCGATAATCCGAAGGCGTTAGCGGTAAGGTTACAGGTTGTCCTATATGTTGCTCTTCGTTGACCTTTGATAAGTCTATATTTTAATCTATGTTTAACCCTTTGATAGAAGCTTGTAAAATTTGTTGGAAAAAAATTTTTTTAGAAATAGTTAATAGCAGTCTTGCATTACAGCTCAGTAATGCTGGTGGATTCTAAAGGCTCTCAAAAATGAGATAACATTTCCTCATGTAAAATAATAAAGATATGACTGCTGAGCTAGGTTTGTTTGGTGAGTTTATTCTTAACAACGTTACGCTTACGAGTGTTACAGGGATGCAAAAAATTTTTGAGCATTTTCGGTGCTCCACAAAAGCTTGTAGTTTTTGAAAGAGGCTTGAAGAGACTTGTAAGTCTGAGCCAAAAATTTTACTCCTTTTATGTGATCTGAATTACCTGTGTTATGAATCATGATGTAAAGCTGTTTCATCATGATTCATAACACAGCTAATTCTCATATCCTTAGCGTTGTTAATTTTGATATTTGATATCGTTGCCGTCATCCCACTTCTCTCAAAAGTTGCGTTTATTGAATCTTTCTCGATTCTGAGAACTCCGCCCAGTTCCCAGAATCTTCTCTTCTTGACGTATATGCCTTCATCTGGTTGTTTATCATCGTATAATACACAAAATCTTAATGCGGCTTCTCTATTTCTAGTTGATCTATCATCTAGTCTTATTTTTACCATATCAGGTTCCATAGTGCTGACGAATGCCGCAGTAATTCAATTTTGTGCATACAACACTGATGTTTGCAACAGCTGCTCCACTTCCAGATAAATCTCTTCCTTTCTATAATTTTCAAGTCAGTATTTTGCACCCATCATTTTCATTTCCTCCAATTTTTATCCCATCATATGGAAAACATTTCTTCAGATAATATAAATTTTTCTTAATTATTTTTTCTTTTTCTTCTTCTTCACTTTTTCATATTCTATCGCAAGGTAATAATAGTATATCTTCCCATGGTGATATACCTGTCGCTTCTAGCAAACTCTTCCAAGCCTGAGAGGCAGAAGGAGAATGATCAGAAGCGAGGTACCCAAGCCGGGGAGCAAGAAAGAAGGAAAAGCAGGTCCAACACAGCTGCGGGGAAGCGGCCTCTGTTCGACTAATGCTATCACGGAGAAGGTCGGTCTGGCAGGGTTTGACCTAAAAAACCATCAACCCCGCCCAGATAAAGGGCGACTGTATAACCGGGCTAGGAACGATTGGGGAACGGGCTTAAGTTTGGAGTGATTAACTGTACTAACGATTTTGGTGTTTTATTTTGTACGTTCTGTTTTATGATTCTGCAAATAACTTCTAATTTGTATGCTTCGTTTTATGATTCTGTGCTGTGGTTTAATTACCCAAGTTGAGGTTTTTGTTCTAGCTGATTCGCTTCCTTGGAATAAACCTGTTCAAAAATCAAGTTCCGCGTGGCAGCACATCAACCAAGACGACAAGAAGAGAAAGAAGGAAACTATAGACCAATTTTATTTATAATACCTCATAAATGCATAGACTTCTTAAATGCGGTACAGTCTACGCGGTAATCTGAAGACTGTCGGTCTCTATGTTCGCAATAGACGGGCGTATTCGACTGCTGCTTGTGGCGACAAACCTAGTTTATTGTTAATAATTCTAATGTTATACATGTTACACATGTGCAAAAATTTTTATTTACTTTCAGCGTTGCGAAAGAGTCCAAAATCATCGAAAAAATCAAAAAATGGGTACATCATATCCAAATAATATGTTGTGATAATATTTGTCGGTTTTCTTAGACATCTAGTTTATTCAAGCTAAAATCTTTATTTTCATTTTCAGAATTGTATTTCAAATCAGAAAATGCTAATACAAAAAATTATTTTCTTCTTGCTGCCGCAAATACGTTTTCACTTGTAACAACGAAACTGTGCTTTGAAATGATGATTCAACTGTTACTAATACCAATTGTCTTGTATTTTGATGATAGTTTTAGAAAGATCGTTAAAGTCAGCGGTCACTAGAGAATGTAGATTTCTTTCATATGCAGCTTCTTTGACAGAGGTTTGAAGTATTGTGAGCCACTAGTTGTGCAGTTGTGCAAGGGGGACAAATTCGTGATGTAGAAGTGGGAAAAGGTCAAAAATCTGTTTAGAATAAATGCTCGCTTGAGCGTGCGCAGTTGTATAGCCTGTAGCAGATTACAGAAGCTGGGCTACCTCTTTCAAACAGGAAAAAGTCCGGAAGGGAATAACTTGTCAGTGAGAAATAGTTAATTCAGGCACGAGAATTGTGGACAGGTGGCACTGGCTCTATCATTAGGCCGACGCACCATTCAGGAAAATTATTCTTTGAGAGTAAGATCGAAAAGTGGCACTCTTCCACTTTGACGGCCTCAGCACGCTGATTGGTTGATTACGTTTCGGTGGAAAAGTTGAAGGGAACAGTGCAGAGGACAGCAGCAAAAGAGAAGAGGACAGCGGCAAAGGGAAGGGGGCAGCAACAAGGGGCGGCGGCGCAGCAGGGCTGAGCGAAGGGAAGATAACATACCAAAGATAACATTAGTTTCAAAAAAAATTGCTAGGTATGGATGTTCTCCAAATCATAGGACGCTCGACGAAAGGCTTGCGCTTTCAGACGACGACTTCGAGAAATGAATGGCCTCTCTTCAATTGTTATTCCTGGTACGCGTTTGTTCCTGCAGGGAGGTATGACTTCATACACAGAGAGTAAGAAGGGTAGAATTAAGGGTAATAATTACTTCGAGTGTAAAGGGAGGAAGTGCCGCTGAAAACTTGGTTTTTACAGCGGCACATTTTTTAAAAAATCTAACTTGAGCTCAAAGGATGTCTTCTGCTTGTATTCACATTGGGCCAAACACGGAAGTTCCACATATGAAGACACAGCAGCTGAAGTGGTTCGTGAAACGGGAAGCAAGCTCAGCTTCTACACTTTACTAGGTTATATGAACTGTTTCAGAGATTTCTGCACAGAGCATTTCAGG